TGGGGATGATTCCCCTTATTAACCATGATTCCAGGCTTCGGGAGAACAGGGTTCGGTCGTTACAATTTGCCCAGATTTATGTAGGTTTCCTGAAATATGGTACCCCATTTCATCATCCATTTTAATAGGATTTCCATGAAATAAACCATCCAGCGAGCTTGGGGTACCACCATGACCATGGAACCCCCCCATTTCTGACTCTCTTTATTTCTGGGGATTGATGATCCTTTTTGCGCCATGCCCCCAAGACATGCCAAGACACATCAACGAGCTGTCTCCGTGATTGCTGCTCCTGAACAAACATAGAACCGATTGAAAGCCTGGAGTCTAAGCAGCCCCGCTTAGCATACTGGAAACCTTAGTCCTCTGGTAACATGATGAAATCTACCGTAGATTTAATGATGATTTAATGGTTTAACACTGGTTTAATGGTGAATAATGGGATGATAATGGGATGATACTGGGATGATAATGGGATGATAATGGGATATACCCTCTGGTAAACATACATAAAACTATAGAACATGACCATTTTTAATGGGTCAATCAACTATGGTCATTTTCAATAGCAAACTGTAAGAAATTACCAGAGGGTAGTCCTCGATCTCCAAGGCGTGAGACTTTGATTTTTTCCTTACATTCGTTGCAGCTCCTGCAGGAACACAGGTGTGTTTTTTTCCTCAGATTTTTTTCAACATATTTTGATAATTTGATATATGTTTTCCCGGAGCACATGTCTTGTTGGAAGCAATGTTTTCCTTATTCAGTAGTTAAGCAGTAAATGCCAGTGTTCACCACATATCTTGTTGGCAAAACACACATTTTCCAAGTTCAATCCGCAAACAGATTCTCTGGTCGGTGGTTTCAACCCCTCTGTAAAATATTAGTCAATGGGAAGGATTACTTTTTCACTTTCAGCGTGCTGCACGTCATTGTGCTTGGTTTTGTACCATGCTACCATCCAGTTGTGGTGCCTGTACATCACCCATGGTAGTCTGGCTGTACGACTTCCAAGGGCACAAAATTTGTCACCACGAAGTGGGAAAACTCCGCAGGCAGGGTGCGGCTGGTGCCGCAGCCAGCAAACGTGCCACATGCAAACTTTCGAATTGCACGAGCAATGACATCGTTGAGGCCAGCTGGGTAGATCTTGGCACGTGCTGTGCAGAACTCCCCATTTTCATCGCGCCCTGCCATGCGCTCATGCTCCTTTGCCCCATGGTTGCATCTTCCCCCGTGCCCACCTGCCAGCAACAGTCGGCGCAGCTCCGGAAGCCGCACATGGAGTATGGTTGTGGGCTTGATAGCGTCACAGCCTAGCGTGCACTGGTCAAACGAGGTGATCCCAACACAGGCTAGGGTACGCAGCAGGCGGATCTCCCTGGAACGCCATACACTTGCGGGGTTCTTGTGCGTGGCCCATAACGGGAATTGCGGGTGCTCAAGGAACCCTGTCCCTCCAGTGTGGGCAAGGCACAGTAAGGCTTCTACCAAGAACCTAATGAGCCTAGAGCCGATAAGGCATTGTTGCCACTGGCGCTGTCTGAGGTTCGGGAGCCAGATCGGAGCGGGGGAGGACCCCCTTCAATCAATCGGGCGGCGGTGAAGGTTTCACATGGCGGTCCGCCCCCCATTCCACACACCTGTCCCGTCGCAATTTGGTGCATCCAAAATTGAAAGGCTTTGGACGAGGCAAGGTTGCCTTCGATCTTTTGCATGCACATGTCGATGGAGATCACGAAAAAATGGAGGGCACCCCATATCTGATGTTCCAACAATTGGTGCAGATCATTTTCTCGCCTGAAACCTGAAAACCAGGGTTTTGATGTGCAGGCGGGCGTGTTCTCGGGCTAGATTGCTGGCTGCAAAATGCCCATCCCCTTGGTTGGGACCAGCAGCGGACTGGAAAACAAATGGGGGGATATAATCCTCAAAGAGCAACACTTGCGGATCATCTGCACTGCCGTGGGTGCGGCGCCCTTGGAGGTTCATGAAGGCTGTGCCTGATGGTTCCAGGCGCTGTTCCCATTTCTGTTTCAGAACGGATGCATCCTGTGAACCTGCCTGGGGGAGCATGGGGCCCTGCACCCTGCGCACTGGGAGCAGAGCTTTGGTAGCCCACCAACCCTGTTGTCGCATGCTCAATGTGTGTGCATGGTCTGCCTGATCCATTGTCTGAACACTAGCGTCATCCAAAGCAGGAAAGCAGGCTTGCAAGACATCAAGGCAAGACGGCACAAATTTGAGATGCTCAATGAAGCGTTGTCGGGAGTGATACCATTTGCAGCACGCGTGGCAAGTGTCACCGATGGCGTAGTATTTAACCACTCGGCGGTACCCATGCGCTCGGCCGGCATGGGTGGCCAGTGCTTTCTCACTGGCAAAGGACTTGCTACAAGTGTCACATGTCCATGTTTCCGCGGGTGCGGACTGCTGGAGAGGCAAGACCCCTCCGCCATTGACAAAGTGCAGGTCAAACCGTTTTTGCCATATGTGGTGTTCTGCAACGGCTCTGCGAAATCTCCGGCATGCGGCTGCGGCTGCTCGCAGTCGGCCTTTCCAGTTGGCGTCCATCGCAACCCAAGGGATCCAGTCACCACCCGGAAACCCGAATGGAGCTGAATGCTGCTGCACCAGGTGATCCGATTTTGGGTCCCATCGATCAACTGCCGGATGAAGAATTTCCAGATTTACCATTTCAGGTGTTTTCGACACGTTTTGGCGGAGTTTATCATTTGAGCCGAAGCTGTCGACATTTGGCTTCGGTCGGTGAACACTGGTCTGGCGAAAGAATCAAAATGGTGCAGTCGATGCCGACGCTCTGCCTATCAAAATGGATCAGTTCCTGCTCTTGGTGCCACCCTGTTTCTGAGAGCATACGGAAGTGCTGCACATTCAGATATGAGATGCCCTATAGCACTAGGATCGAATCATCTGCAACTGTGCACGGCATGTTTAGAAACCAAAAATTCAACAGCTTGAGCCTGGCTGAAAGGTGAAAGGTCCAAAGCGGATCTTTCAAGGGGGAGTGCTGTTGTGGCACCACCTTACCTTTCATTTTTGCATTGCACATTTCAAATCCTTTAACCTGTCAGGTGCTGAACTCAACCTGATGCGTAGCTGTTTTTTTCTTCAAGGGCCCCGTGGCCAAACTATGCCCGCCAGATAGGGCTGCAAACTGGCTGCAAAGCAAGGAGAAAAACTAGAAGAACGAGCAGCTGCGGAGGCCTGGATCCGAAGAAGGCTGGGAATTTTAGGTGGCTGGGCCTGGTGGAGCACTAGGGCTTCATCAATGATCATCATCATCATCATCATCATCATCATCATCATCATCATCATCGGAACAACTACCGAAATCTTACCAGTGCAATACATCACGACCCCTGAAGAAGCCAAAGCAAACATTAAACGTGTATCACTCGCAAAAACAACACAGTTTCCACTCACACATATCTTGTTGCAACTGTCTTTTCTTGTCACAATACCCCCTGACTTTCCACATTTTTTCCCCCAAACACCGGGATCGGAAAAAACATGTTGCTATTGGCCATGTTGGTTTCATGTCGGATCCTTGGGGGTGTAAAACACATACTATTTTCTAGCATCTTTTTGGCTCCCCGGGATGCAAAGAATCCGGAAGGCCCCTGCTTCTTTCGACCATCCGACATGGCCACAGAGTCACCGATTGCAAGTTATGAGCGTATCGCCGTCAACTCAGGTGTCTCTTCAGCAGGGTGCCAACCCCAGTGCCTCCTCGTCCACCAGCAAGAAGGTAACCAGGCAGTTGAGGCAATTGCCTACGGTCTGCCTAACACCGCGCTTGACCGCCCTCGAAGTTCTTACGGTTAGCAATTCATGGCGTGCCGTCTCACCGGCTGTCACGTCTTTCACCAGGAGTCAGGTCGGTTAGCACACTGGAATCAACCATATGTATGCTTGGGACGCCGCCTCCGTGACACATTGAGTTTCTCGTTTCGGGACACATGAGTTCCGCAACACCCCGCAGGGTGATTGTGCTACAATTGAAGGATTATCCCATATATTATGGGAAATAAAACATGTTCCAAACCACCAACCAGATTCTGACTTCAAATCAAAGTATCAACATTTTGGGAAGGAATTGACCACGGCTGAACCAGTGATTGGAATGTGGCATCTTACAACGTCAAGACGGGAGATACCCCAAAGTGGCAATTTTCATGAGCCTAAGAAAGCCAGTTGAGTCAGGAATTTATCGAACATAACTGGTTGGTGGTTTTTCGCCACCCCTCTGAAAAATGAAAGTCAGTTGGGATGATGAAATTCCCAATATATGGAAAAAAATCATGTTCCAAAGCACCAGCCAGATTAATTAATAAATTAACCATGAAATGTGGAAGCGTTCATGAACTTCACTTCATCCAACCCATCTCTATTTCGATCACCATCCATCATCAGTAAGGTGTCGCCAATCTTGCGTACGAATCGCAAAACAATAGGAGTTGTTAGCCCCATCAAAGTAGCCAAAGCATCAAATACTAAACTATCCATCCGGCCAGTTGAGCCAGGAATTTATCTACCCTCTGGTAATTTAACAAAGCTATGGAAAATGGCCATTTAGTTCGTTGATATTTTCCCATTAAAAATGGTGATTTCCATCGTTTTTTGTATGTTTACCAGAGGGTAATAACATCTAATAACTGGGTTATGTAACCATAGTTGCAGAGGCCCTATCTCGTAACTGATGGAGGAATTTATCTAACATATTCTAACATAATTTCTGTTTTCGTTGATTGATGTTGATGAATTCCCCACTTGGCTTCAAATCCATGATTCTCTGTGGTGGACCCTCTATTCCCAAAGGGTGCAGTTCCAAAACTCGTTATGGCCGAGGCCCCATACTGCAGCACGAGGTACCCCAAAAAGCAATGAGATCCCATCAAACCCCATCAAATCCCCATGAAATCCCAGAAAAATCTATGAGAAACTCCATGAAATTTCCATAAAATGTTCATCAATGTCTAGGAAATCACCATTTCCATCCCAGCAAAATCACCCCTCTCCATCTCCTGCAAGTTGGGGTGCGGAAACGGCGCATGCCCCCGATGCATGGCGGGTGGGTGACGCTCCAAGCGCTCGAATTCGAGCATCGCGTGACCCGCGGGCCCCGGACCCGGGGGGACCTGGACGACCTACCGGAGCCGTGGAAGATGGAAAAACATGGCTGCGGATGCCGAAGAAATGGCGCAAGGGGCTTGCCGCAAGGGTTTGTGAAAGTTGGGTTGAAGTCAGTGAAAGTTGCTGAAAGTGGGTCAATCTTTCACTACTGTCATGGGGCAAAAAATTGATATACCAGTTTTCCACATTATCCTGGAGGAATCCAACAAAATGTCACCGCAGCCGCTATCTGGCCATTTTGGATGGAGCTGGGATTGGCTGTGACGAAAGTTGGTGTATTTGAAACAACTTGGTGGTTATGTGGTTCAGTAAATGCGTTGCGGGTAAGTAGGGTTTGTCCAGTGATACGGCGGTGACGGGGCCACTTCATTGTCACTTCATATTCCTTGGGTGAACCACCAAGTATCAACCAGTTCTCATTGAGAATCATCAACCATCAACACATTTGGAAGATGAAACCTGGTTGGTGGTTTGAACCCCTCTGAAAAATATGAGAGTCAGTTGGGGTTATCATTCCCAATATATGGAAAAATAAAATTCATGTTCCAAACCACCAACCAATCAACCAGAAACTCATTGTCCCGCCTATCTGGTGGGTTCCCCACATCTTACTGGGAAGAGGAGATGAACTCAGTAAGTTGGCTGTTCCCCCGCTGTTCCCGTCATCCTGGGCGTCATCCCGCATCTCGGATGAAACAAAAGCCTACAAGTTGGGAACCCCCCCAGGTATACGTTGGTTTATGAACCCGATGAACTATAGTGAACTATAGTGAATTATAGTGATATGCCCCATACACCTTAGTTAACCAAGTTATAAACCAACTTAGCTATCATAAATCAACTATTATTCACCATGTTTGATGGTTAACTCCAAAATTTCCTGAGGTTTTTGGGGCCGGGCCCCACCGCAAAAACAAAAAGGCGACCTCCCCTGGACACTGGACACCCGCCTTAACGCCATGCCTGGACGCCGTGGAGGGTGTATCTGTGGTTTGAACCCACTGGAAACAATTGAGATTTAGCCAACAATTGGGGATATAAGAAGGTACTATAGCAATACAACATTATCCTAATACGTATAGGGTAGATGTATCTGTCAGATACAGCCAACAATTGGGAATATAATATATATATATGTATATATATATGTATATATATATATACAGTATAATATAGCCAAATATAACCAACAAACATGGTGACTTAATAGGACTCAATGGAAATGTTTTGGGAATACTCTGCGGTAATCAAAGATGACTAAGTTGGGAAATCGGAAATCCAGAAAGAATTTGAATGGGAAAATCATAGCACTTACAATTGGGTGATTTTCCAGCAAGGCATGGGGCTGACTACCAGAAGAGTACGGTTTAATCAGCAGAACAATTACAACCAACCTAACCAACCAGAAAATTTGAAAAGGGTGGTTATCCAATATAGATGTTTGATTGATTGTTTGCAGAAAATGGTGGGTTTACAACCAATATTAATGGCCGTTTTCATGGGAGAAATGATGGGAGAAATGAAGTTGTAGACCAGTGGATTTTGATGGAGTTGGATCCTGGGAAACATCGACCATTTTCTTTCCAGCTGCTTAGGTTTATATATATATATATATCATATCCCTTTCAAAATAGCAGCCTACCATAAAGTACTAAACTAGCCTTCTGGCACAAGTTCGCTTTGCCAACTGTAATCCTCCATTCTTCCAGCTTTCAGTCAAATTTAAGTCTCTTCTTGCCACTTTGCTAGATATGGCAGATGTCACAGTTCCGTGTTCTGAAAAGGTTAAGAAGCGATTCTACTCATGGGTTTTGATGCTTACCCTCTGGTAAACTAACATAACTATGGAAAATCACGATTTTTAATGGGAAAACTCACTATAAATGACCATTTTCAATAGCTATGTTAAATTACCAGAGGGTAGATCTGCTGTTTGGGTCATCTTTGGATATCGTTTGGGAGGTCAGCAATCTCCTGTTTAGCGGGTGAAGTCCAATTCTTTTTCTGATGAAATCCTCAGTTTTGCGGGCGAACCCTGATCCTCGATCTTTTGCGGTGAAACCCCGTTTTTGCTTATGAAATTTGGTGAACTTTCCAGCCGAATGCTGCCGACTTCCAATTTTTTCGTGATTGAATCGTCATTTTTCCCGCTAAAATCGAACTTATTGCTGGTTCCTCCTGACGTTGGCTCATTGAATCCTCAATTTTCGAACCAGAATCCCCATGATATCACCAGTTATTGCTGGCGAAATCCCCATGTTTGCTGGGAGCTTGAAACCGTTTCGCCTTCGGAGCAGTTCCACCAGTTCGCTTTTCTCCACCAAGCCGTCGTCACTGAGGCCATGCCTGGGTGATTTTGGAGCTTTTCGCCAGTCAAAATGGTATGATGGGGATACCCTCTGGTAAACGTTTACAGTTTGCGAACTGGAAAATCACAATTTTTTAAAGGCAAATCAACGAACTAAATGGCAATTTTCAATAGCAATAAATGACCAGATGATATCTCAGGGTTTTTTCCCCTTCCAAGAAGGTTTTTCCCTGCTGATATGGTGAGCATGCCATTGGGGATATCTCAATGGCAAACTGAGAAACTCTCACGCTGGCAAGCCGGGCAAGCAGACCAGTTTTCGTTCAATCCTTCACCGCCCCTATTGATAGTTATGTTCACTCCGTGGAAACAGCCTTAATACCATTAAGAGGATTTGATGGAGATATGATGGGATTTCACGGGGATTTGATGGGACTGGAAGCAACTGGAGATGGGAATTTGATCTTAAAAGTTGGGATTCATTTCAATCAACTCGAATGGGGATGTTTACCAAGAACACTGGGGATTTTAAAGAGGATCAAGCAAAAAAACAGTTAAACCAACACAAAGGATAGATTCTAGGCAGCAAAAATTGATTCAAATAACACACAGGGCAGATTGTCATATTTTGGTTGGTCGCACCAGCGTCATCTTCTCCTTTGGTTACGAACATCCCCAGTTCGAAGGTCAGAACTCGATTGATCTGGCCCTACTTCGATGTGCCCAGTGTGTTAGCGGTTTACGACCCGATGTAGTCTGTATATAACTGGGGATATTCCAAATGTCACTGGCACAAAAATGATGTGTCATTAACTGGTGCCCTGCACATCCAAGTAACTGATGGTTAATACGAGTAAGTCCTTGATTTCTGGAAGGTTCCATTGAAAAGTGGGTAAACTAACCCCAAAAACACTCAACAGTTTCTAAATGTGGTGATCTTCCAAGTAATTTAACGTTAATTATTATTACCATTATTCGACCATCCATTTATTACCATTAATCCGAATAATCATCCTGAACAAAATCAAAAATGCAGGTTTCTCCAGATTGTTTAAGTTGGTTATCTATCCCATTATATCCCATAATATGTCACATATGTCCTATTTTGGATAACCTCATTTGCTCTTGGTGAATCACACCCATAGCCTCAGTAAGGGGTGCTTTTCACCCGCATGTACTCCATATAGAACTGGGGATATTCCATATTTCACGGGCTTGTAAAATGGGTTGTTTTTCGGTGCGGCACTTCCACATAGACAAAACGCTGCAGCCGTGGTGCTTTCGAATGAGCTCTTTCAGCTCCTTTACGGAACACCTGATCTGCCAGCTGTGCTGGGATGAGGGGTTGAGCATCAAAAACCGGAAACATTTGGATATCATCTACCATACTTGGTGGAAACCATGGTTTTTACCAATGGTTGATAGGGACTACTTGGGGGTTATATAACCAGAAACATACTGTAAGGCCATTTTGGGCTGATTGCGCTTTTTTTAGCAATATGTGAGCAGTGTTCAAAATACCCTGTCCCATAGTGGACTATGATAATCCCAATATACCCTCTGGTAAACTAACATAACTATGGAAAATCACCATTTTTAATGGGTAAATCAACTATTTCTATGGCCATTTTCAGTAGCTTTCTAGAGGCAACATTCCCATATTCAGAAAATCTTTGCATACCATGTTTTCATCGTATTCCAGACCTGGGTTTTGGTATGTTACTTTGATAGGCATTTCAGCTCAATCTGGAGGGAACAGTTGGGCCATGGCGAATCCACTGAATGCCCCCCCACAGCTTTCTATCCCCTATGTCGTTCCAAAGCAGCTGTGGACGCTGGATGAATTGAAGGCTGCTTTGATAAGGGAGTTTCCTCATTTGTCTACCGAAGAAGGACAGGGTTGTCAAAGGTAACGTTTTTAAAGGATGGCTGAATAAAAATTAGCCAGTTTCTTCCCCGGGGCTTCACCCAAGGTGAACTCGGAAAAACAGAACCCACTAGCTGGTGTGCCCCTGGAAGTTTGGGCTGGCTTTGGGATTGGAATTTTGGTTCTGGCCCCGAAACTTCCCTCTGTGGTCTCTATACCAGCCACGCATACTCAGAATTCTTCGCATTCCATAATTTCTTCGCACTCCACATGGGACATCGCACTCCACAGCTAGGGACGTACACATACTGTAAAATTCACGCACTCTGCAAGATCTTCGCACTCCATAAAATCGTCGTACTCCGTGTTTTTTTTTTCTTTCTTTTTTTCCGTTTTTTTTTTCGCTTTTTTTTTTCGTGTTTTTTGGCTAAAATCGCCTGGAATCACGTTTTCTGGAATATGGGGAAGATGGAGTTTTCGCGTGAGACGTCTGTAGTTTCACATGCTATCGCATTCCAGGCCATTTTGGCCAAAAAAAAATAGAAAAAAAACTCAGCAGGGTGAATTGTGATAATTTTCTGGTATATGATGGAAAAAACTGGGGTTGGATCCAAAAAGAAGGTCGAAGGGAGCCGAAGGGGGCCACGCATACTGTTTTATTTTCGCATTCCAGAAAATTAGCGCACTCCAGGGGTGGCATCGTACTCTCTCGGTGGACTTATTTTGCACAGAAGAAAACAGGATCGTCGATGATTTGTGTTCCCAGATCCTGTTGTGCAGAGCTCTTTGCGGGGCCACAAAGATGTCAAGAAAGATGGGGATGGCGCTGCTGGTGAAAGGCCAGCCAAGCGTGCCAGAACATAAGCTGAAAGCTTATGAATTGGGTTTTGAGATCCTGAAAAGTGTAGACATTCCCATAAGAACGTTATTAACCTATTTTTGGAAAGCTCAACACTATTGATTATGACATTTCCAGAAATTGTTGAAGTAAGGATCGTCTTTGGGGAAGAACATGTGCAGTCGACAACGTACGTGCCAGAAGAAAAGGAGTACGTGGCAAACTGTATGAAATACAAATTTCACCTGAAAGGGGTCTTCGCAATTCCCTGAAATTTCCCAGCTATTTTGGCATGGAATATGCTCGGCCCTGGAATATGGGCAAGAAATTGCTAGAAGCTTTTTGTATGTTTGCCATAGGGTATTTGGTAATATAACCCCCTCCAAGAAATCACTGTAATTATCACCCGGAAAGGGTTTTCTTTCGTTCATTCGTGGGTCATTTTTTATCACCAGAAATCCTAACGGAACGACGAACACGACCCGCCGACCCGCCTCATGAGACTCTCGTCCACCTGTGGATGGCAGTGGATGGTCATCAAATCTTGAAGCATACGATATTTAGCCAGCAATCACTGGGGATATCATGGGGATTCAGCAAAAATTGGGGGATTTAGCAAAAATATGGGGGATTTAGCCAGCAATGACTGGGCAATCCAATGAATTATTTTTCCCGATGATTTCCCATCAACAATTGCTAGTCTTCCATCTGACCGATTTTGCGGATTGAATGGTTGCTCCCACCTGCTATATTTCCAATGGTAAGTTTTCACAATTGGGTTTTTTACATTTCATCATTGGTTCCCCATTAAATTTACATGACAATTTTTGGATGACTCTGGGTCTCCCGTTTCAAAAGCAACATCCGTTTGGGTTTGTGTGAAAATAGGGAATTCCCAAATTTTGGGTGTACATCCCATTTTCAGACACACAAGAACTTGATTTCTTGCCAATCAAAGCCCAAGTGGAGGTTTCCTAAAATAGGGGTACCCCCAGTTCTCATCCATTTATAGATTGTTTTTCCATTATAAACCATCCATTTGGGGTACCCCCATTTATGGAAACCCCCAAGTTATTCCCAGTTCTATATGGATAGAATCATTTTTTAACATATAGTTGTATTATATACATATGGGATATATATATATATTTAACTATTATTATATCCCTATGTGATAGTCTATGAATTCCATATAGTTTCTTCATTTCTGCAGGTCCTGTGTCGGTTTGCACATTGCCTAAATTTATAACCTGTGAACGGTGATTTACGCCGCGACGATTTTTCAAGACAATGGATGATCCCCTGAAAAAGTGGATCTCCAAATTGATAGCCATACGAAAAATCACCATGACTCATTGCTTTCCCACTTTTTATATATAATAGATATATAATATATATATATATATTATATATATATATATACATATATATATATATATATTCCAACTAGATTCCCATGTTTTTGCAGTTCTTCTTGGTGGTTCTGTTAGAGTCACAACTATCCTTGGGCTATGCGCCGCCGCTGGATGTTCATCCAAAATCTTGGAGCCCAAAAAAAGAGCGGTGGAGCCCCAGTTATAAGTTGGTTTATGAACTCAGCTATCTATAGCTATATATATGTATATATATATAGAGGGCTATGGATCAATACCTATTAATACCATTTTTAGGGGGATGAACATCCATTTACCAGCTATTTTGATGTTCACCAGGGGTACAAGGTTTTGACACACTGCCATATATATATATATATATATTCCTTGGGTGAACCACCAAGTATCAACCAGTTCTCATTGAGAATCATCAACCATCAACACATCTGGAAGATGAAACCTGGTTGGTGGTGGTATACCAACCCCTCTGAAAAATGATGGACTTCGTCAGTTGGGATGATGAAATTCCCAACTGAATGGAAAAATAAAAAATGTTCCAAACCATCAACCAGATATATATATATATATAGACAAATACCATATCCACCTATAACCACTTCTTAGCCTAGTTATAAGCCAAGTTGCCTAACTCTGGGGCACCACTTTGTAGGTTTTACCCCCCTGTGCACTTTTCAAACACATCTATGCGGGTATAGTTCAAAAAAGGGTACCCAATAATCAGATGGTTAATACTAAACATATGGGGATGGGTCAAAACCCTGGTACCTAGTGAACCCCAAAATAGCTGGTAAATGGATGTTCATTCCACTAAAAATTGTATTAATAGGTATTGGATCGGGGTGCCAATTCATTATGTGAAGTTGTGCAGGAGTTTTAGAGCGGTCTAACTTTTGTGCATAGGCCTCAGGCTTTAAAATGCAGAAAAACAATGAAAACTGGCTCTGCAATAAAATGCCTTGCCACCAAATTCATGCTTGAATGTGCATCCAACATCATCCAATTTCAACCAATTTTGAAGACCCTCAGAAACGCATCTTTAAAAAGAGGTCAGGAAATCCATTTTAGATAGGGGTATTTTAGAGTGAAGGTGCCCAAATATTTAGTGTGTTTTTTTAAATAGCATTCTATAGCAACAAAATACGGTGGCATTCTTTCGTGGCAATTCCTTAAAATTCCTTAAAAATCCTTTAAATTCCTTAAAATTCCAAAAAACTCCTTAAAAAACCTTAAATATCCTTTAAAATTTAAAAACATTAAAGATCCTTAAAAATCCTCCAAATTCCTTCAAATTCCGTCAAATTCCTTTAAATTCCTTAAAAATCCTCTAAGGTCCCTTAAAATTCCTTAAAACTCTCTAAATTCCTTAAATTTCCTTATATATAATTCCTTTAAAATTCCTTAATATTCCTTATAATTCCTTTAAAATTCCTGAATATTCCTTAAAATTCCTTAGAATTCCTTCAAATTCCTTAAAATTCGCTGATCTAAAATGACATGCCCAATAACATCGATATAAAAAGATCCTGGAAAAACACTGGTTCCATTCTGCAATAAAATGCTCCAAGCAAACTTTTTTTTGCAATAAAATGAGAATGGAATTTTAACATGTTAAAAATAATCGGGATTTACCTTTACAATAAAATGCTTAGCCCAACCCCCCAACAATAAAATGACTAGCCTGACATCAATTTTAAAATTCCAATACATTAAGAATTTCGTTTAAACTATGCACAGGTTCACCAGTTCTAGAGTGGAAATTGCCACGGGGATGGTATTGGTCCATACCCATATACTTAAAAAATGTGGTTCCACAGGGCTTGAACTGTGACCCATCTCCATGTTAGTTTACCCCACAGGATAGGGCCCCCGTTCAATAGCGTTCAGTTGGTTTATTTTTGTGGCTGAATTCTATGGTTTATGGTAGATATAACGAACTAGATTACTATGGTATTCATGGGTTTTATAAACCAACGTTCACATCACTGGGGAGCCCCATCCAGGTTTTAACCCACAGCCCATGTCCAAACCTGGCGCGCCGTTATAGCCATGGCTTCGCCGTCGCTGAGGTCGAAGATTTCACGCGAGTGCCTGGGTTCAAAGCTTGGAGACCACGAAGAATTGGGGATTCACCAAGAACAATCAGGATTTTGACCAACTAAAAAAAAAAACTGATTTTGCCAGGAAAGAATGGTGTTTTGACGATCAGTTAACACCGCAGTTTGATTCAACCTGAATTTCCAGGATCAATCAGCGGGATTTTTTACTAAACAAACAAACAAATGATGGTTTTATCAGGGATACCATCCGAAATTGCTATTTTACCATATTTTACCCAACATCTATCAGACTTTCAACCAAATGAAGAGGGATTTCACCAGCAGTGATGATATGGAATTTAATCTACTTTGGTTAATATGGAACATGATGACAGACCACTGGATTTTCAGATTGAGGCACGCTATGTGTGAGGTGAAAATAGGAAGCGAACCAGCCAAAGTCAGAGATTCTAACCATTCTAACCGATAAACACTTGCAAACATGCCGAATTCACCATTAAGAATATACCCAAATCTTTTTTTTCCACAAAAACACGAGAAGGTGAATCATCTGGCACCTGGGGGAACGAATTTAAACATATCACCTGCGGCTGATTTCAGGCGTCTCAAAATTGGTTACAAGCGTGCAGAATAAGGTCTGTGCAGGTTACATATGCATAGATAGAGTATGATTTACATATATATACATATATATATATATATTTGTATTATATATCAACATCAATTTGTGTACCTTGGATATCATTCATGCATCCACATTTAAAACATACACTACTCTAAATACATGTTTTACACGTACATAAACTGAGTCATCAGTTCTTCATCTCTGAGAATCACCTGTTCCCATGGCCCGGTTCCCATGGCCCCGGACGGCTTTTCTTTGAAAGCGCTTCTCGGATCAAAAGGTCCCGGCCTTGGGCCGCAGCCATGGTTGTTACCAAAACGGGTAACTTATGGATGGCAAGCATCGAAATGGAACTCATGGGCTTATTCAAATGCTTATGATACTATACATACAAATAACTGTAAATCATATTAAACTATCATCATCATCATCATGATAATGGATGGATGGATCTATGGTGATTATACAATATAATATTAGCATATATTAGCTATCATACCATCTGGTTATGTAATAGTTTGCCGTGGAAAATCACCATGCTATTAATAGGTAAACCATCTATTTCTATTGGCTATGTTTCATGGCTATGTTAAATAACCAGAGGGTATATAGATATCTCCATCAATAGATTGCAACCATCCAAACCAGAGCCCCATCTGCATCGCCTCAATGTCGCAAAAAAAAACTCACCGTCTGATGTGATGTGAACTGAAACCATTTGTTTAAAGCGAGGTTGTCTAGAGGCATGATACATCACCAGAAAGTACAAGTAAGCCCAATAGTAAGCCATAATGATGTATATGTATATATATATGCATCAATTATATATATATATCGACATATGTCGACCATCTGTCAATCTCCCTATGTTCAAAGAAGTCCTAGAAAAAACTTACTTTTTGTTGATCGCATATTGAGCACGTTCTTGGACCTGAAGAAAACTGACCGAATTAATTGGACTACATCTTGTCTTCATTCGAAAAAAACCTGCATCCATGCCCATCTTTGTTCCTCACAACACTATTGCCGCAGCTTATAGCCACATGTTTAGATGGCCCCATTTATTTTCAGTTGAGTCCACACCATTTCTAATTGTAAATCACTTAATTTTAAAAAAACATACCTCCCGATTTGTTGCCATTCACATCCGCAAAAGTACAACAACGTTAGGAGCCGAGCAGCGGTTCCAGCTCATCCTCCACCACCACCGGTGGCAGGAGCAGCATATTTCGGGGCACCGCAGAGCGCTCCGGGCGATCTGCACCGGCAGATGGACCATGGCATCATGGGACCATGGATGTTGAATCGCTTTTAATGGGTTTCAAGTGGTTAGAATATGTTAGAATGATTGAAAGCTCATATTAGAATATATATGTATATATATATAGTAGATATGTGTGGTTTGTTGAAAAAACCATCCAAACAAGTGCTGGCCAATATTGGGATGGTCAAAGCATGTCAAAGCTACAATAGGATATCAAGTACAATCAAGTACAGCCAGTTGGGGGAGATTGGTTTGTCCACATCAATATTGAAAGTATAGACACCATATTTAAGAACCTACGAAGTAGAGAGGCAACTACATGAACCCGTCACCATTGGGTTCACACCCATTTGCCAAATGTGTGGGCTTCGAGGACGCCATTGACTCATCTGGTTGGCGGTCAAATGCTTTTACTGTATAGTAACATATAGTAACCCCCCAGAAAGACAAAAACATCCCGGCGGAAGCGTTACCGGCGTACGAAAATGATGAAAATGACTATTTCGTCACAGCGAGGAGCGATTTTTTTCATTCAAAACCTCTCCGAAAAAAAGGTCCATCTACTTTGTGAATAACAACCCTTCCATGACTTCAGCCTGAAAAAGGGCAACCGCAACTTTTTCTCACATTTTCTTCAACGTGTCAGCGGTGGCTTCCATCAGGTTTTTCCCTGCGCACTTCCACTGCCACTGGAAAGGGCGCATGCATTTCCATATTTGAGGATTGCGCGCCTGGCCCTTTTTCGATGGTAAACTTCCAGGGATGGTTTGTTTGAGGACCTTCCAGAATCCATCTACGTGACCCGTGTGGATCTTGACTTTCCAATGAAGATCATAGAGCGTAGCAGCAGGTTCATGTGGAAATGCCAATGAAGATCATAGAGCGTAGCATCAGGTTCATGTGGAAATGCCAATGAAGATCATAGAGCGTAGCATCAGGTTCATGTGGAAATGCCAATGAAGATCATAGAGCGTAGCATCAGGTTCATGTGGAAATGCCAATGAAGATCATAGAGCGTAGCATCAGGTTCATGTGGAAATGCCAATCAAGATCATAGAGCGTAGCATCAAGATCATGTGGAAATGCGAATGAAGATCATAGAGCGCAGCATCAAGATCATCTGGAAATGCCAATGACGTTATCATCCCACCCCACCCCACCCCACCCCAGACTATCGGATGCGGATGTGTGGAATTGCAATTGAAGATCATGGAGCGTAGCATCAGGATCATGTGGAAATGCCAATGAAGATCATAGAGCGTAGCATCAGGTTCATGTGGAAATGCCAATGAAGATCATAGAGCGCAGCATCAGGTTCATGTGGAAATGCCAATGAAGATCATAGAGCGTGGCATCAGGTTCATGTGGAAATGCCAATGACGTTATCATCCCACCCCACCCCACCCCAGACTATCGGATGCGGATGTGTGGATTTGTGCGACGGTAACGAGTCCGTTGGCAAAAACATGTTTCCAGGATCAATGGGAATTTCAGGATCCTAAAATGGAGGTACTGTACCATATAAGGCCATATTTTGTGGTGATATTCCCTGAAATTTAGGCCTAAGAAATAGGCCTTCGGTACCTCCAATCAATCGGTTCCTGAGTCATGGCCATTGATCAATATATCATTCACCATCATTCACCATCATATAATCTCCCCAATAACCTCTATAACCGATGACACTTGTCCCTTACGACTTGCAGCTTTCCTTGGTGGCAACACCCCATGGATGGTTACTCACCTTCGGAGCCTTCGCTCTGCGGCGCCTGGGCCTGGCGCTGAAAGGATAGGATGATCCCGTGGAATTCAATGGGATTCAGCCAACTTCACTATGGAAATTGAAGTATAACACGGATGTACCTATTCTATATGCTATACCTTCTGGTACTGTTCACTAGAAACTCACGACCATTAGGGATTGATCATTGAACTGCATCTTTTTTATGGAAAAATGAACGACGCCAATTGCTATTTCCATGTGTCAGTGCTACCAATTCCACCAAGAAATCCACCATCTACTTGGGACTTTGCAACGAAAACACCGAGGTGTTTTTCTGTTTTTGAAAGAAATCGTTTTTTTTAAGCGGTTTTTAAAGGTTTTTTAAGCGCGCAAACACAGGATAGCAACAAGCAAAGTGCGTCCACCACTTTTACTTTCTCCTTGCACCCATAGCTATGTGCGCCCTCTATTGGGCTTTCGCGCCGGCCTAAGCACAAGGAGCTGCGGAATGCAGCCACGCGTGTGCAAAACACATGACAACATTAGAATTTGGATTGGGTCCAAAACCAATTCGTCTCGCCGTGGGTCCACGGCTCTCAATGAAAAGACTTCAAAGTCAAAATAAATGTGCAAAATCAGAAAAACATAGAAAAACACCCTCCCGTAAGATGGGACTGGAAGAACTAAAATCAATGGGTGGCAGTCTCAAGCCACATGCAAGACAGCCTTCATTATGCCACTCAGAGGTTCAGTTCAGAGCACGGGAGTTCTGCCACAGCATCGCATTGCGACAAAATGCCACAGCAGAAGTTGACAGAGCTAGACTCAAGGCTATAGAAACTGAATGAATTTCGCATCCTGTCGTTCTCTGTAGCCACACGGACAGGCTTGCATAATCCCAAGCGATTGTCCTCAGGGCCCTTCCATATGTCACTATCCAACCAAATGCGCCAAACACTTCAGGCGCGGGACAAGTGGCAGCTCCGAGCAGAAATCCGGCTAAAAAGCATGTGGATCCAAAAAAGCAGCCAAAAGCCTGTCTCAAACTGAATTGCAAAATCGGACCATCGACCGGCACTGCGCTGGGCGAGCACTGGCCGCCTGACAGCACCCTTTTTCAGGCAGATGCTTGGCAGCAATGGGCCTGGTCAAGGAGCACATTTTTGGGACAGAAATTCCACGAGCTTGGACACCCGCTGTGGTTTGCTCCGGGGCACGCTTTCCGAATGGCTCACCAAGATTTCTCTCAGAACACCGGAGTCTAGCGCCATGAGGCGTTGCTCCACACCTTCCCATGAGCATAGACCATCGCTACTCACATGGTTGTCGGTGAGGGATTCAATGAATCTAGCAGCTAAAGTTGACAGTGGCTGTTCATGCGCCTGGTGTCCATCAGCAGCAGAAGGCGAACCAGTCTTCTTCTTGGCTGGGTTCTTGGATGGTGATTGGAAGGCTCGCAGGATGCGTTCTTCCATCCGTTTGAATTCAGCTTCTCTTGCTTCTTGCTCTGCCTTCTTCTTTTCGGCTTCTCTGGTTGCAGCTGCAGCAGCTTCAGTTTGTTCCTTGTACCGGCGGAGCTCTTCAAGCTCCCTGCGTACGGAGGAAGACGTGGACGATCTGCTTCTATGTTTTGGGGATTGAGAGCGGCAGCGAGATGAGGAGCGGCTTCTGGCCTTTCTTCGTCTGCTGGAATCTTGGTGCAAAGCTTCCATCATACAGGCCATAGTCTCTGAAACATTGTCAGGGAATGAGCCTCTACCACCAAATCTGCCAGAATTGTGATGGAAGCCATGACTGCGCCATGGACTGTTTGCCCCAACCATTGCCCTTTCCGTTGCCCCAACCTGCCTGGACAAGTTGAGGCCAGACGAGGCATAGAAGCAACGCTAACGCAGGAGCGCCCTTGTTCTTAAGCTACTTGGGACAGACTGACAGGCTGAACCTAGAGAGCTATGGGTGGCATGTAACATTCTTATCCTCTATCTGAAGTCCGCTCAGTCCAAACAAGCCTACACGCAGATTTGGAAAAAGAGACCATGTCGAGAAAGTGCAGATGGGAGATGGAAAACAACGCAGACAAAACTTTGGAGCGCGGCCATGCTGCTGACTTCAAATCAAAAAGAAGACGAAGGCGAGCACGTTTCCATTCGTATTCAGGGGGCCGAATATTCCACCATCTACAAAATTTACCCAGGAAAGATTGCGAAGGTAAGGCCTAGGGACTCCCCAGCATGGTGGTGCACAAAAAGGCTTCACATTCAACCCGACTTCCATGGTCAAAGTGTCAATGCACATGTCAAGCCAAGGGAGCTTCTGGACTTCCTCCCCGATCTCGAACTCAACCGAATACATGCATTTCAGGAGGGAAATCAAGCAACAACGGCAAAAAAGCATGCTGACAAGGACAACGTCATCAGTATACCTCAAATGGCAGACTGCATTTCTCCATGGAATGGGCGTACAGAATCCCTCTTGGCATCTTCTTTGTGCATCTTCTTTCCAGCGGCGTTCTTCGGCACCGAGTACTATGCAGGCTGCTATCTTGGAAAGGAGGCCACCGATTGGTAGGCCATTAAGGTTGGAGACACAGGATCCTACTGACGCAAAGCCTACTGACATGGCAGCAACGAACGCACGCATCAAGTGAGAAACATGCCAAGAGACACCTTTGTGGGTGTAGAGCAACCTTTTACCTCCAATCCAGCTCATGAATTTTCGGCTGGAAAGGACAGAAATAGGTGCTTCACCATGTGTACATGAGAACACATCCATCAGCAAACGAGCCTCTGTGATAGCTCTCGCAGGTGCCACTGTCTCAAAGAATTGACCAGCATCGGCAACAATGCCTGCACAACCTGACATGCTGCCCTTGCAACGCAAACAAAGACCAGAGGGGTTGGGGGTCAAGCTTTTCAAGTTTTGCTTAGCACGATTGTTTGCATCAGGGAGGCTCCAAACGTCATTGGTCTGGCCACAATGTTTCAAGATTGTTTCCCACCCGTGGTGGATGGATCTCCATACACGTTTGCCTTTCCAGTTGCATACGAAACCACTTTTCTGACGCAGCTGTGAAATGGCTTACGGCATACACGCAGGGCTTGGCACCAACATTTTGCTTTCATCGTGATATACACGTAAGGAAGAAGAAAAGAGGAACGTGAGATCTTCAAGCGACGGGCAAGTTTTGTACCAAGCACAGACATGACAAACATACACAACCATTGGTTAGCCTCCATGGGGGAAGCCTGGCAGCGCTCCCACGAAGCAGACGCCGAAGCAAAAGACATGCACAGCAACAGATATGACGCAATTGGCATTTTCCAACCAACTTTTTTTGGCTTTGTCGTCTGGTACTGCAGCAGTGCCTGCAGGCACATTCATGTCATGCGCGTACTGAAGAAAATGTAGTTGTGACGTGTCCTGTGCTTGCCAGTGACGCCGAACCTCTTGCGGCACGGGAATCTGCAAAACGGCCTTGGCCGGAAACGATTTTTTTTGGGCACATTTCATGTGATTCTTGATTTCAAGCAACTTCCCATGGCAGAATTCAAGCTCTTCTGCTTTTGCCATTCTCTTGGGGACTTGCCAGTTTCTGTCCACTCGCTCAACTGTGCCAGGTATGCATTCAGGAATGGGGTAGCGCTACTTTGAGGCCAAGGGCCGGAAGCTCGGCAAAGCTTAGCATGGTTCCAATCATCTTTGAATGTGGGCATCTTACCTACACAGAACCTAATCCTAGAGGCGATCCACTTTTTTTCCAAAACATGTATGTCAGACTGCAAGCTCAACATGTGTGAAAGCATCCTACGGCGGAAAGGAATCAAGCAAGCATGTGGCAGCTTGAGGTAGTGAATGCCTGTGCCGGCATAATTACCAAACGCAAGCCAATCATCCAAATGCTTTCGGGCATGTTTGCACTGCCCGGGCTTTTTCAAACAACGCAACATGAAGGCACATTTGATGGCCATGAAAGGATCACGGCGCCATGCGGCCTCTAAGTTCACATTGCACTGCCGTAGACCCAGGCACAAAACCAAAAGTCTGCGGTAAAAGTGTGCATACACATCAAGAGGACCTTGTGCGCCTGTCCTACGGTACCATCCCTTTTGTTGCAATATGTATGCGGCAAAGTCCAAAAGTCAACATGTGAAGTCTCAGCTCCTTCTGTCAGAACACGGGAACATATGCGACGCAGCTCAAAACAGTATCGCTTGTCAACGCACCGCTCAAAGACAGGAGAAACACGTGGGACCGCTGCATGGCGAAGGTGTTTGGCAGGCCTCGTTCTGTGTTTAGTTCGCCTGTTCTTTGGGGCAGATGAGCCACCATTACTTCGAGGCTGATGCACTTTACACTCTACAGACTCGCATGCACGTATGAAGGCTTCACTGCCAGAGGAACAAACCAAGAAAAAGCAAGACCAAGGGGCAACACGGCGTGCTAGCATGTAACGCAGCTTGAAACCATCCCTGTAAGTGGAACGGATGGTGCCGCACATATGTTCAAGAAAACGCCTTGACAAACTGCCCTGGTTTTGATGCATCTTTCTCTGGTGCTTACCTATCCCCACATATCGCCAGGAATCAGATCACCATTGGTAGAGGCCAAAGAGTACAGGAGGCCCATCAATCAGGAGCCTTTGCCTATCAGCAAGTTTTTGAAGGAAGGCAAGGTTTGTTCCACTGTCAGAACCGCACCCATACGATAGCACGTGACTCTCAGCAGGATGCAGCATTCGCAACACTCGTTTGGCCTGATCAGTCCAATGGCGCGCACGGATCCACAGAAGGCCTTTTGACGCAAAAACAACTGCAAACAGGATTTCAAGGTGCGAACATGTGCGATGGCCGAGGTGGGAATCAGGAAAACACCAGAAAATCAACATCTCACTTATACACAGCAGTTTTGACCATAAAAAGTCTGGCACCCTTCTTCTAATCAAACTCTCGCAAAGAACATCAAGGATTCTATGAGCAAAGAGTTTTCCGTCATTGAGTAGCTGCACATTCCGCGGGACTGCTTCTCTCATACATCCAGGAGAAGAAGCAGAAAATATGGAAACAGCAAGAGAGAAAACATGGGATGCAGAAAAACGCTGGATCTCTTCCTTGCTGTAAAAGGCCTGAATATGGAAAGGCCTGAATAATGTTGTCCAGCCAATAGTGATCTCTTGTCAATAGTAGAAACATTTTTCCGCAACTCCAATTTTTCTCCAATACTAAAAGTCAATTAGCAATTAGCACTATTTACTTTTAGTATTGCCAAAAGAGTCATGTTCAGACCTTGTCCAGAGGGCATGGCCAATAGTGGACCCAACGTGGCAATAGTGGAAACTTGTTTCCCAACTCCAATTTTTTCTCCAATACGAAAAGTCAATTAGCTCCATTTACTTTTAGTATTGCCAAAAGAGTCTTGTTCAGACCTTGTCCAGAGGGCATGGCCAATAGTGGACCCAACGTGGCAATAGTGGAAACTTGTTTCCCAACTCCAATTTTTTCTCCAACACGAAAAGTCAATTAGCTCCATTTACTTTTAGTATTGCCAAAAGAGTCAAGTAAAGCAAATCCTTTTCAAAGCAGCCTTCACTTTTGATTAACAAAAGCTTAGATTCCAGAAATCTGATCCAATTACCAAACAGCTGATTTCCTTATAAAACCCTTATTTAAAAAAAACAAAAAACAGGTCCACAAAGGGTACCCCCTTTGCAAGCCCCAGAATAGCAATAACAAACCTGCACCAGGCATGGCAATAGTGGAAACTTGTTTCCGCAACTCCAATTTTGTTGTCCTCCTTCTCCTTCTCCTTCTCCTTCTTCTCCTCCTCCTCGTCCTCCTCCTTCGCCTCTATCCCAGCCATAAGGTTCCAAGACTTTATTATTGGAATGCTGACCCCCCCTGGATTTTCCTCCAAAATTATTTTATTTAGGGGGGGTTTACTATTATGCAGCTAACATTATGAGAAACGCGCAAACACAATCAAAGTGACATGTCTGGTTCAAAAATTGGAGTTCCCTTGTGGTCAATGATGTCCCCACAATGTTCCAATGGTTGTTGTGTGTATTCCAAGGATGAAGCAGAACCGTGGCGCAAATTGGGAACCCCCGCAACCAACAAGAAAAAGGTGAATAGGGGGGCACACATGGAAGGTAAAAAACATGTAAAAACGTATACCCTCCGGTAAACTAACATAGCTATTGAAAATTGCCATTTATAGTGAGTTTTCCCATTAAAAATGGTGATTTTCCATAGTTATGTTAAATAACCAGAGGGTAACAATTGAACACGACCATGCCAAGACAATTCTTCTCGAGTCTTTTCCACCATTCCATGGCTGAAGCTCCTCTCTTTTTGCAGGCCATCAGGTATTCTTCGGCAGGAAACAGCTTCCATCACCGTGGTGGATCGAGTTATCCATGCGCTGATGACTCGCTGCGAAAGCGCAATGCTCGCTGCTGCTTCAACATATCCATTCCAGATCCCATCCCAGGTTTTTTTCGCCCGGTTCGGCGCGCACTCGTTAATGCCGCTCGTTCCTGCAGCAAGTTCTAGGGTTGGATGTACATTCTCTCTGGAATCCAACTATCATGCAAGGTATCTCTGCTTCCCCAAACCCTTTGGAGTGTTTGGCAAAACTTTCCGCACGTCAGGAAGGCGGACATCAGGAAGGCATGCAGCATTGGCAAGCAGAAAGCGTGGAAACTTCTCAGTTGGCTTCAACTTAAGCCCTTTTCTTTCGGTCCATAAGTAATCGTTGAACACATTTGAACAATTAAGTGCCTTAATAGGGAAACCATTTCGTTTGGGCCCCCCTCTCTGGCCCCCAATGTTGAAGACACCAGGAGGGGAAAAGTCCGCCTTTTGTAGGTTGTCCCAAAACAAATCAACCAGTAATCTGGGACTCACATTGACAACATGTCGAGTCGGGTAGATCATGCCTCCCCATTCACAGGGTTTCCTGCTACTTGTAGCAAAGCCAAGAGCTTCATACGGCTTTGTCTGAACTAGGGTACCTCATTCGATCCACTAGTGTGTCATCATTTTCCCAATTGACATCGCAATCAATTGGGGGACCCTATTGAAAACCACTTCCAAATATATCAAGTTGCTGATATCCCCACTACATCCTGATATTTGTTGGCAACAAATCCCCAGTTTGATTGGTCAAAACCCATGAAATCACCCGGATAGTATCCATTATGTATCCTTCTGTTGGTGGTATCACCTTAAGTCTCCCATGATTTCTCCATTACCATCTGGTTATGACTAACAGTTTGCCATGGAAGCCATGGCCCATAGAAATAGATGGTTGACCTATTAATAGCATGGTGATTTTCCATGGCAAACTCTTAAATAACCAGATGGTATGTTCGTTGTATCCCATGATTTCTATAGATTCTATGCCCATGTCCTGTCCCTGCCTCTGCCGCCACTTGCAATGCCTTGCAAGCCACCTGAGATGAGTTCGGTAATCTGGGGATTCTGATCCGCAACCATAGTAGGGGGCCATGAAATCACTCATGTCAGGGTATACACAATACCCTCCAGTGAATTGACATAGACTCTGGCATTTTTGGGGCTTGGAAGTCTTCTTTCCAGAAAAATATGCGTGGAATGTTCATTCACTTTCAGGGTCGATGTCAATTTACCAGAGGGTAACAAACTACAACTTGGGAATGGGTTCTTATTTCTGTATTTCTATGGCACTGCCATGACTACTATGATCACCCAATATTAGTACGATTGTCTATTCTTAATATTAGTTTACACGTAGTGCTAAAATTATTAGAAATTAAAATCATTGTCTAATTGGTGGTTTCAACCCCTCTGAAAAATATGAAAGTTAGTTGGGAGTATTATTCCCATATATTGTGGAAAACAATCCAAATGTTCCAAACCACCAACCAGAAAATCATTATCATGCTTGTCCTCATGTTTGTTGGTATTTTCGAAGGTAAGCTCCAATTACAAGTGAACTTATCTGACCTCACGGGGGCTATATCCCAAAGAACCAGGGGGTTTATAATCATAGTTATACCCCCATTTGCAACCTCAACTATGCCCTCTGGTCAACTAACATAGCTATGGAAAATCACCATCTTTGATAGGTAAATCAACAAACCAAATGGGCCCTTTTCAATAGCAAACTGTAACAAATGACCAGAGTTTTCCCGCACTACAGTGGGATACCAATAGCCATAGCTATAGGGGCTATATCCCCACTACATGGGGGTTCATAATCATCTGGTTGGTGGTTTCAACCCCTCTGAAAAATATGAAAGTCAGCTGGAATTACTATTCCCAATATATGGAAAAATAAAATTCATGTTCCAAACCACCAAGCAGTAACATAGACCCTGAAAATCACCTTTTTTCTTCGTGGAAACTCATCTTCCAAGCCCGTTTAACATGGCAGGGTCGTCATGTTAATTTACCAGAGGGTAATGTTTGACCCATCCCACCATCCCACTACATGGGGGTTAAGAATCATAGATATTACCCTCTGGTAAACATACAAAAAACATACAAAAAACTGATGGGAAAATCACCATTTTTAATAGGTAAACGGGCTATTTTCCATGGCTATGTTAGTTTACCAGAGGGTACATGTTCTTACTAGCCATTTGTAGCCTCAACTGTACCCCCAAGGGGTTGCAACGCGCAGACTCCGCCAAGTAACAGCGCCAGTGGACACCAACCAACCGCAGCAGGCACTTTGGGCAAGCCCCTGGCTGCGCCACGGAGGGAACCGGCGGGATTTAACTGCTGCAACTGGATGTGGATTTCCCGGAAAATATAGGATTTTCTATGGATTTACCCTCTGGTAAACTAACATAACTATGGAACATTGTCATTTTTCATGGGAAAATTCACTATAAATGGTGATTGTCCATAGTTATTTTAAATTACCAGAGGGTATAGGGATTTAACATGTCTATTGGATTTAAATGGATTACCAAAAACAATTAGATTTATATGGGTATGAGTCAAAACCCCTACGTTGATGCACCCCAAAATAGCTGGGTTTCAGGGATGTGCATACCCTCAAAATATGGTCCCAATATATTTTCTGTAGTGTCAGCCCTGAATTAAAAATATCCTGGGCTCTTTTCTTGGGGGAGTATCATTCTTGTCGCAAATGATCACTACATACTGATGTATCCAGGGTTGACTTTACACTGTTTGAGCTAATATGCCGTACTAGTATAGTTAATGCGGACTAGAAAGTTGGAGGAATCCACTTTTTGTAAGCTCCACGTATATAAGATATATAAGAGATACATGAGATGTACTGCACAATATATGGGTCACTCATGCAAGCAACCATGGTAGAATACCTTTGTGGGTCCCTGCAAATGTGAGGAACACCCATGCAATTTCATTTTGCTAGTCTGAACTACCCCATAAACAAGAAGTTTAAGCATCATGAGTGAAACAATTGGTTTTACCAGCAAGCACAGGGATTGAACCCCAAGATACCTGGCAAAAAATCCACTTCTTCGCTGGACATGCGTGATTTCCAAAAGCGGAATTCCATAGCTGGCAGCGACGATGCCTCCAAGGAGGAAAACAGCAAGGACCGGTTCTGCCGCAGCTGTTCCTGCCAGTGGCTGATGAAAATGTATCGAAAATCCCAGGCCTTATGGACCAGGGATGATGGGATAGGTTTACATATGATCTGGTGGTTAGGCCAGAAAATGGATCCAGAATTCACCCGCCCAAACAATCATTCTATCATTATCTATCATTCTCATATGAACAAACACATTCATCTTTATGTATGATTGCTTCTTTTCATTAGATAATAGCAATTATTCTGGGATGATGTATTTAATTTTCAGACATATACTAATACATGTACCATATTGATGGTTATGTAATGTTATATAATCACCATTCTATCCCCATAGTTGCTGGTTCAGAATGGTTTTCAGTCCCCATGTTCATTGGTTAAATTCAAGAAACACCGGAATATCCAGCCAAACTCTCAAGCCCTGGAAAAATCACCATTGCTAAAGGACTACCCTCTGGTAAACTAACATAACTATGGAAAATCACAATTTTTAATGGGAACATCAACTATTTCTATGGCCATTTTCCACTTCGCAAACTGTTAGTCATTACCAGAGGGTAACAGCCTCCCACGTTTCCCAAAAAAAATCCCAGGATCTCTGTGGGAAACCAAGGCCTCGATCTTTTTGGTGACCACTTTGTCGGTGTCCATGTATTCGGACTCGGCATACGCCAGCTTCTCCTGATTTCTCGACCTCGGTCGGTATGGATGGCAATGGCTGAAGAGCCCGGTTCGCGTGTTGACGGGTTGTTTTTTAGCATTTTTTTGTACCATTTCAATAGTTGGATTATCATAGCTATGATTTCAATAGTAGATTATCATAGATTATCACTGTAGGGCTTCTTGACTTCATGCATAGGGGCTTTTTTTTCTCCAGAAACGCCATAGTAAAGGACCTCATATGTTGACCTGACTATTCCAGCATCATTCCAGGAATTGTAGGTGGTGAAAGAGGACGTTCAGCCAACAGGGGAATGGACGTTCCAAATATCAATAAGCAATAACTCAGCAACTAACTCACTCAACGTGTCGATAAATATTTCGGTCAGCAACTCACAGAGTGCAGAGTGCATCACCGATTTATTGGACACAACTCTGAATTCCTTTTTGGATCATCCAATTGATGTGACGACCAGCTCTGCCTCTCCACTTTTTTCAACGCTTTGATTGGCCAAGCAACCTTAAAAAAAAGCCCATTCTCCAATGTGATGGTGAAAAAAACTGCCGGGAAGTTCTCAATCCAACACTTTTGGATCTCAGTATATAATTGCTTTTAAGGCGGCTCGCCTCGCCTTTGCTTGTTGCCAATGCTTGGTCAAAATCTTCTTGTTTGAATCTGTTTTCGTAGCTGTCCAACAGTTTATCGACAATAGAAAACTGGCCCATTCATAGATCATGTACCTTTGAAGCATGTTGATTTTCCATAGCTACTGTCTACTGTACAAGTTAAATTACGAGAGGTTAGCTGGTGCTTAGCTTAGGTATAGGTACATCTCCCATCAGTATAACTACTGCGTGATAAATTTGGGAGGGAAATTGATTGTCAATAGGTGAACTTGATAGCCAATGTAAATCCATGTAACATGGCAAACCCAATACAAAACCTCCAATTGCGGATGGCTTGGGCTTACACGACACGTTTCTGATACAACCCCGGATGATTTTTTGGCTTTGGGTTTGACACATTCTATACCCACATGATGTATCATACATGTCAATATCCATCAATATCCACATTGGGTGGTTAAATCCAGTAACATATCGATTCCCCAATGGTAGTTCTGTCATTGGGTTCAACACATTATTTGATAGTCATAGTGATACCATGTTAAAACTGTATCATGAAATGAGCATATTCTAGAACAAAAATGTTCGATGATAATGTCATTGTGTAACCTTGGGTCTACCACTGTGTATAGTAACCACCCTATAAAATCAAAAATTAAAAAGGTGCAACTATTTTGGCAGGATGTTAGATTTCTCTCAGGCTTCGTCGTATCAGCTAAGTTGCAAATATCATCCCAACATACTACCCTCTGGTAAACTAACATAGCTATTGAAGCCATGGCCATAGAAATAGTGAGTTTTCCCTTTCGTAAACGTTTACCAGGCCGGGTATCCCAAATATCATCCCAACCATCATCCTAAAATAAAGCTTCTTAATCCCATGATTAATCCCATTAATCCCAGTTGGTATTTAAATTTGACCACCTTCTGCCAGTTGATATATCGGATCCATTTTAGTATCATCCCAACTATTAAATTGTTCCATACATCCCATCCATCTCACTATTGTTGTTTCAATAAATATCACCCCAAATCTAATCCTAAATCTTAATCACACGAATTCCATTCCTTATCTTCCACTGACCTGTCAGATACAGGTCTGTCAGATACAGGTCACCAACGCCATATCTCATATCTCATTCATATATATCATATCTTCATTCAACACAACTATACACTCCCGTGAACCCCCAATCCTTGTTTCTCCAGTACAAGAAATTATCCCGTGAACCGCCAACACTCGAGTAGAACCCGTTCTCTCAGAGGTAACGAGGGAAGGTTGTTCGGGCCATTGTCACAGCCATTATCACAGGCGCCATTACCAGCTATGATTCCTTGTGATTCTACCCATGATCCAATAATCTTAATCCCATCATCACAGAGTTTTACCCACTGGTAAACTCACAGTTTGCGAACTGGAAAATCACCATTTCAAATGGCTAATTCAACGATTTCTATGGTGAAAAATCGCAAAGTGAAAGAAATGACCAGAGTTTTACCACCTTGCATTGGAATAGCAACAGCTCCTATAAATGGCCATGGCTTCAATAGCTATGTTAAATTACCCGAGTTTTACCATACATCGGGATACCAATGGCTCAGCCGTCCAAGTTGCAAGCGATGCAGCTGATCCTTGGAATTTCCCTTTCGCTGCTCCTCACGCTCCTGGAACTCACGCCTAACGTCAGGATCCGGGATTTCATTGATTTATGGAGAATGAACTTCTGGGAAATTCAAGGGGATTTCAGGGGAATTTCAAGGAATTCCAATGGGAAAGTTGGGGGATTTTTTTCATGGGAATTCATTGGCAAAGGGGGGATTCAGGGAATTTCATTGTTTTTTTTTTGCAGAACTTGAATGAGAACATGGAATCGTTGAATGGGGACTTAACAGCACAGCAAAATGGCTGCACCTGGGATCATTACGGTGACCTAGGACTGTGTACCGTCGCGTTTTTTAAGGATTACCCCGGACTGTGCCTTTTTTTGATGCACTGGGTAACAATCATAAAAACATTCATTTTCCGTCGAATCAGCATCAATTGGAAGTATACCCAACATGACCCAACTATGTTATGTTCAAAAATTCTATGATATTATATTACATCCCCGTTATATATCCATAACATGGAGTTATCTTCCATGATATCCCCATGAAAAATCTTCATAGACTCCATCAACTGCTTAGTGTCATCACATATCCCCATTAAATCCAATACTGGTTGGTGGTTGAGCCACCCCTGGTGAAATATGGTGATTTCCATGAACAACTAGTAGTGGTTAACTGGTTGGTGGTTGAGGTTTTTCGCCACCCCTCTGAAAAATCATGGAGTGTTCGGACCAGTTGGGATGATGACATTCCCAAGTGAATGGAAAGTCATAATCCATTCATGTTCCAGTCACCACCAACCAGCCATTAAATCCCATAAAACAACCATTTTGGTAGGTTAGTAACCCCACTTTTCTAATGTTCCAAACCACCAACCAGCATAGTTTTTTGTCTTCGTCCATTCACTCCGGATTCTGCCAGAAATTCTGCCAGGTCACCGTAGGGTTTCCACCTTCAGGGTGTAATGATTCCTTGGTTGATGTGGCAGAAAAATCTGCCGGAAACCACTGCCAAAAAAGGATATATTGATCAAGCCATTTTTCGGGCTTGGCCACCTTTGCTGACGTTCATCTCATCGGTTTTCAGGGTGATTGACTCATATCCATGTGAGGATACTGTGACAAAAAAACGGGGGAAGGTCAATTTTGCACCAACAATTTCATTTCGAAGCCTACCCAACTGATCCAATTTCAGGTAGCTGGGTCATCCCCTAACCCACGATGCCAGATAGTGAAGGTTATTCTTGGGGGCCAAGCTCGAAAGACGGCAGATCCCGCCAATGTGGGGGGACAACCTGCCATGCTGTGTCATTCCCTGCCGATTTCACCGAAAAAGTTCGGGCACCGCTTTCATTGACCCAGCTGCCCCCCTACTCTGGCATTCACCATCATCCTACAGTTACGTCGTTGTGATATCATCATAATTTACCCAAACACCTATTTTGGCTCCCAAACACCTGTTTTGATTGGTTCATCCCTCATTTTTTGTGGATTAATGATTAATCACAATCTTTCTCGTTGTTGGTTAGAATCCTTCAAACATCACCATTATACTAGAATGGCATTGGTTAAACATCTCCACCGTAGCTTTCAATGCGGGTTTTCATGGGGTTTCGACATGGGGGTACCCCAACAGCTGGATGGTTCCCCGAGGACTTAGGAAAGCCCCAGATCCACCATATGTTTTCACTTGGCCAATGATGCTCTCCTTACTGCACCGCTGCACCAAGAATCTTCTCCACCATGGCGCTCCTCTTCCGCTCAAAGAGCTCCATCACCTCACAGCTTTTAGCTTTTCTTTGAGCGGAGGCCAGTTTTTCTGATCCACTTAGCTGAGCTTAGCTGCTTGGTGTTTCGAAAGTGACCGCCAGGACCGCCATCCCAATGGGGATCAGCATCCCACTGCGCTGGTAGAAACCTAGCCATGTCAAGCATGGAAGCCTTGAATCGCCGTGGAAAAAACAGGTCCAAACTTTGCCAAAAAATGGGAACATTCCACAGAAAAAGACTGTTTGGGGCGGATTGTTTTTTCTTACTTTAACAACATGGCCAATCGGCTCATGCTTGATAACCTGCAAGAACAATACTTAATTTCCAATTGCTTAGGATATGTTAGCATATTCCTCAATTTATCATCCTGTGAGGCTTTTAATCAGTGTGGTGATTTGACTTCCTCTTGAATTCAAGGGCAAATTGTTTGTACGCAACCGATAGAAGTCTTGCGCCCTTCCCTGATCTTCACTGTGGATGAATGCCATGGCCGGTCCATCTGTCGTCCACATCAAGTCTTGAATTTCTACCAATCCAATATCTGCACTATGTTGCCTCCATTTTGTCTTATAAGTTAAATGCAACTGTTGATGCTTAAAATGGCAAGTTCTTCGCTATTACGCTTTTGCATCCTCAGCATTCTCATGGTGGGATCCCTGCTTTTCTTTTCTTGACTAAATCACAATTCCCAGTCTGGGATGCTTAAGTCGTAAGCATTCTGATTTAACATCCCCCAATATTCTCAAGGTTATAAGGTTAAAGTCAGCATTCCACTTCTTACAATTTGCACATATACTGGTGTCACCGCCATTTTAGTCGCTTAAATCACCAATTTTTCATCGTAAATGCCGCCTCCCCAATCATTCAGTTTTCAGGGAATGATCTGATCCAACGACCGATCGCATCGGGCCGGCCTTGTGAGTAGAAGTCCTCAGCTCCTGCCACAGTTCTACTGGGGAATCCTGATGACTTGTGGTTCACCGTTAGTCACGACTCCATAGATCCTGGGAAGATCATTTGGAAAGTGATGTTGATCGTCCCACTATTTTGAGCAAATTTTGGTGATGTTGAATGATTCTGAATGACCACTATGCCAGTATGTTCTAATATATAGACAAGAATTTAGGTCTCAAACCCAACATCTTGGACTTGTTTTTGGAGTCCGGTCGTTCCGAACGACAATGTTATTCAGGTGGCTGGAACGTATATATCATCCCAGCAGGAGATGTAGATCACTATTATTATCATAGAGATAGAGTCAATAAACAATACATATCTCGAAATAGCGTTCAGTTGGTTTATGTTTGTGGCTGAATTCTATTGTTTATGGTAGATATAACGAACTAGATAACTATACTGGTTGGTGGTTGAGCCACACCTCTGAAAAATATTACTCAGTTGGGGTTACTATTCCCAATATATATGGAAAAATAAACAAATGCTCCAAACCACCCCCAGATATCAATATAGCAATCCCGAAACAGATCAAAAAGAAAAGTAAAACTTGTAAAACCTAAACCCGTGATCAACTGCTACCTATCTCTTTCGGCGTTACGGTCATCATTGATAGCGCGCCTGGAGCCGTGCGAGATGTTTCTTCATCTCAACTGCTACGCGTGGCGCGGTGGCCTACGGACCGGACAAAGGGTGCTTGGAGTAAGTCTTCACAGAAGGGGATTGAACCGCATAACAAGAAGAACAACTTCCATCAGTTGCGAGATAGGGCCTCTGCAACTATGGTTACATAACCCAGTTATTAGATGTTATTACCCTCTGGTAAACATACAAAAAACTATGGAAAGATCCACCATTTTTCATGGGAAAATCCACTATAAATGGTCATTTTCAATAGCTATGTAACAAATTACCAGAGGGTAAGCACCAATTGAGTGTCAATGAAAAAGTAGAATTGGCTGCATTGTAATATCCAGATGGGTCAAATTTGAGTGATCAAGAGAAAGGTGGAATGATGAGAACCAAAGAAGGGATGAGATAGGAAAGGGTCAGTAAGTAACCCTGGAACTTGTAGCCTCAATTAAACATAAAAAGTACCACCAAAAATCTGGGGTTCGGGAGGGGTATGGTTGATTGGGTGGGGGGGAACCATTACTGTATTTTGCCGGGGGGGGAACCATGCAATTGACTTTCGTAAAGCCCCAAAATCGGGTGAACACCTCCATTATAAAATGATTCTCATCTCTTTCTGCTTTTCGTCATCATTCAGAAAATTTAAAAACATATGATTTATGAAGCTGACTCATTGACTGACTGAGGCTATCAATTGAACCAGAAGATCGACAAGGCAATGCAAGAATTGGTGGAAAGCATTGGCTCTGGCTCGACAAGTTGTGCGAAGAAGAAACTCGTGAATGTCATGAACAACTTGGTTGGCTGGACAATTATGTTCACAGGAACCTCAACCAGTCTCAGATATTCACAGCTCCAAAAAACCGCTTCCTCCATTCACTGGATAGAAAAAACACAGAGGTAATCTTATCATTAACAATCATTAAACACTCAATTATGGTATCTTTTGGAGATATATACATTGATCAATGGTGATTTTTCTGGTGATTTAATGATGGTTAATAATTGGCCAATTGGCTTTTCGGACACGAAACCACGCCGGTGCACGCCTTGACCCCACTGGCGAGCGCCCAGACTTGGGCTTGCACAGAGGCCTGACCGCTGGTCACGTGATTTCATGCGAAAAATAGATAAAAATATGGTGATTTCCATTCAACTAGTAGCTGGTTGGTGGTTGAGCCACCCCTCTGAAAAATATGAGTTCGTCAGTTGGGATGATGATTCCCAATATATGGAAGAATAAAACATGTTCCAACCAGGTAGTGTTTAATATTCATAAATCATGACATATTCAGTATAACCTCCACAAAGATCGAAAAGTAAATCCAAAAATAGTGTTAATTTACTCTATTTATCAAGGGGGTGCTATACTATATCCGTGATCAAGGGGGGTGTCAATGTACATGCCTGTTTTTCGCGCGCGAATTCGAAACCCAAGTGACTGTCACGCTGTTGGCTTGACCACCTTGTCAATGAACAGACAGCGGATGGAACTTTCCGTCGTTGACAATGAGTACCCTCTGGTTATGTCAAAATAACTATGGAAAATCACCATTTATAGTGAGTTTTCCCATTAAAAATAGTGATTTTCCATAGTTTTTTGTATGTGTACCAGAGGGTATCAGCCGGATCCTAAGCATCCCAACTGATAAGCTGCGCGGAGCCCTGTTGCCCAGCACTTCCAGAGATCACTCCATGCAGGATCACGTGCTTGGTTGACTGATTGTGAGAAGGAACCACAGCCATTCCGGAGAAACCGTCGACGAACTTGCCATTGGTCGCCCTGTAGTCAATGAACCTCCAGCCATCATCAGTGGTACCCTCTGGTAATTTGTTACATAGCTATTGAAAATGGTGATTTATAGTGAGTTTTCCCATTAAAAATAGTGATTTTCCATAGTTTTTTGTATGTTTACCAAAGGGTATAGTACTTGGTGGTACAGCAACGGGCTCACCTGCCACCCTGCGAAAAAAGGCTGCGTATTTCGTGGTTACCAATGGGTGATTTCATCAATTTTCATCCCCATGGTGTCGAATATCCAGAAACATATCCCGCAGATGGGCACATACCCTCTGGTTATGACTAACAGTTCGCCATGGAAGCCATGGCCCTAATCGAAATAGATGCTTTCCCGTTCTTAAACATGGTGATTTCCCATAGTTATGTTAAATATATAACAAGAGGGTAAAATAAATAGACAACAGTACTGAACCGGAGGAAGTAGTAATCCACTGGCTATCAGGGGGATGGGATGGCCATGGCGATGGAAAAAACCGCAGTGGTGAAGCCGTTAGCCGTTGGACTTTCAGGGCACCAAACATCAACCGGCAGGAGTGGCGTTAAACTGCGAGATTACAGTCAATGGGAATTCCAGGATCCAATACATGGAGGTACGTTAGTACCATATGTTTGGCCATATTTTGGGGGGATATTCCCTGAAATTTAGGCCTTATATAGGCCTTATATATGGTAGCTACCTCCAATTGAGGTTCCTGAGATGGCCATTGATACAGTAACCCACAAATACAACTGGTTGGTGGTATACCTACCCCTGTGAAAAACATGAGTCAGTTGGGATGATGAAATTCCCAACTGGAAAAAAACAAAAATGTTCCAAACCACCAACCAGATTTCAATCACGATTTCTACTGGATGCCCAATATCTGCCATGGTCAAAAGATGCTAAATGGGGTAGGGTCATCCCAGCATCATGAAGTAAGTGGGGCTCTAGCCCATAAAAAACTGCTTGGTAGAGCAAGAGATTCCCAGAATGGACTATGATAATCCCGTGATAATCCCCGATGTACAAAGGGTAGTGTAGCCTCTGAACCATCCCCATATTTGAGACCCTCGCTAGTCAACCAGGTTTAACTGTTTAACCAGCAACCTGGTTGCCATCCAAGTTGAACAATTACCCGGCCTGGTAAACGTTTACATAGCACTGGAAAATCCCCATGTTTACCCTCTGGTAATTTAACATAGCTATGGAAAATCACCATTTTTAATGGGAAAATCCACTATAAATGGCCATTTTCAATAGCTATGTTAAATTACCGGAGGGTAATAGGTTATTCAACTCTAAACATGCAATTTTCTATAGCAAACTCTTAGTTTACTGGAGGGTATATCCCCATTATACCAATGATACCCCCCATCATGCCCCATCAGATCCTCAAAACATGCTTGCTTGGAAGTACCTCAAAAAAGCCCTCCGATAATCAAACATGGCTTGCTGGACAATCATTCATTTAGTTCGATGTTTTTGCCACTGAAACATCCATTTCATTCGGGGATTTCCTAGCTAGTCACGTTTTATGACAACGGAGGGTAATCATCCCAATAATCACGATCATCCTAATTAATCATAGTATATATGTATATCACTATACATAATTGGAATGAGAATACCGATATACCCCAATATTCCAATAATATATCATATTGGGACCATTATATCCACAACTATGTGGGGGTACCCTAAATCATCCATTTTCCATCAGCGAGCTTGGGGATCCCCCATGACCGTGGAACCCCCCGAGTGACCCATCATGTTTGATGGTTAAAATCACCATCTTTGTTTAAATCATCATCTTTCATGGATCAAATCACCATGTTTGCTGTTTAAATCATTTTAAATCACCATATCTGGTTGGTGGTTGAGCCACCATACCTACCCTACCCCTCTGAAAAATCATGGAGTGTTCGGACCAGTTGGGATGATGACATTCCCAAGTGAATGGAAAGTCATAATCCATTCATGTTCCAGTCAACACCAACCAGCCATTAAATCCCATAAAACAACCATTTTGGTAGGTTAGTAACCCCACTTTCCATAGTTATTTTGACATAACCAGAGGGTCATTGGGGGTATAAACCAACCAGAATGGGATTTAGTAGATTTAGTTATTATATTGAATGGTGCTTTAATGGGATTTACTACCCCATGTTATTGTTCCAGTCACCACCAACAACAGTTGGGGGTAATGTCAACCCTGGATTAATAAACCCCAAGCGGCTGTTTAATTGGGAGGGTACCATTTAAGTATTAGATTATGACTATTGGAGGAGTACCCCCCTAATTGTCATAAACCATGGTTTAGTCTCATCCGGGGTTGACATTATAAACATACAAAAAACTATGGAAAATCACCACTTTCAATGGGAAAATCCACTATTTCTATGGCCATTTTCCATAGATTACCGGAGGGTAAACCATCCAGGCTCCCGTTCGTCCTCAAATTCAAAGGTTGGCTCCATGGCTCGCAGCACCGCCAGCAGGTGGTCCACCAGCTCCAAGTGGGTGCCTCGTCCGCTGTCGCGATAAAATGGTGATTTACAGTGGACCCTCAGTTAGAAGATCGGAAAATCCAACTTATACAGTGAGATCTGTGGTGATTTAACCAAGTTTTAAGCAACTTTATAAACTTGAGATCTGAAAAAAAAGGATTTGAACAACAGAAATAGCAAATAGTGATTTAACGAGCATGGTGATTGAAGCAACACCATTTTGTCATTCGAGCAACAAGAACGGTGTTTTCGGTGATGTCATCAAAAAACATGTGATTTGACCAACAAAAAATAAGGTTGAATTCAACAACACCCATGGTTTCAATTCAAAAAACAGAGGTTTCTTTCCAACGAACATAGATGTTTATTTCTAAGCAGCGAACTCTTGGATCCTACCAACTACAGATAAGACATGGGCTTCACCAAGAGGGTTGGTGGTTGACCTACCCCTCTGAAAAATATGAAAGTCAAATGGGATGATGACATTCCCAATATATGGGAAAATGATCCAAATGTTCCAAACCACCAACCAGATTAGCATACTTGCGGATTTCGATAAGACACTTCAAATTTAACCAACTACAACATATGTAACATGGGTTTGTGATGGTTTGAACAACACATGGTGGTGCAACAAGTATACATTTGGGAAAAGCTTGGAATTTAGGACTCGTGGAAGAATGTTTGGTTATTTCTGTATGGTGATCAACTGGGGGTTCAAGTCATGTTTTTCTGAAACGGGGCATCACTTTTTGATGCCTACGGATGACGCTTGCGACCATCCAACCTGCAGCCAGATTCAGCGGAGCCAAGGACTTTGGTCTTTGGAATTGTTGCCCATCCAACCTATGGGTGTGTTGTTTTTGGAAAGGAAACCATTGGTCAGTATAGCCCTAAGTTTTCCACCAAAGACTTACCGTTGGTTGTATCCCCGATTTTGCTGATAAATTATATAATCTCCAAACTTCTCATATGGTGTTTCCTAAAACAAGCGTATCCAAACTGTCCCAAACCATGGGTTTTCCGATTCAACATGACCCACAAGTTGGAGAGTTTCTTGCGCCAATGACTCGTCGGAAGTCCTCGAAATAGTATTCTCCAATCCAAGCGGCTCACAGATCTTACAAAGTCCTTTGCAAACTTTGTCAGACCCTGGCGTCGCGTTGTGAGGTGGTGACCACATTCATGGGGATGAAAAAACCATAAAAAACCCAAAGGTGACTGCTCCAAATAGTAGATGATTAAAAGACCCGGCAGTGGCTGTGGCTTTTGTTGCTTAGCCTTCAATAAACCCAACAACCGAAACACTACCTATCATGGCTAGACATGATTTTCGTGTCGAGATTCCATGTCTTGGATTGGTCGCACCGTTCGGGACCTCATCCCACCCAACCTGCGCATCATCCCCCCATTCAACCCGCGCATCTTGGGTTGCCTATGGACCATCGGTCTCCTGGTGAACGACCTTGTCCATGATTGACTGTATCACTTCGAAGGCTCCAGGTTCATTCACAAGATACTCTCTAACGGCGGGCTGAGACCCAAGTCCATGTGGGCACTCGTGCGCGGGATCATATATTCCCCTCGCATCAACAACTTGATCATGGCGCAATCCTAATGGTTTACCCTTCTTTCCGAAACCAAAGGATATAAGGCGCACGTGAGGGAACATGAAAAAAACTATCAATTGTCAATGGTTGGTTATAAATCCCTAATAGTTGCTGGGCATATACTGGATGTTCTTATATATCCCGGACATGTAATTTTGCTAATTACTGTCAGATACCCTCTGGTAAACTAACATAGCTATTGAACATGACCATTTATATCCATTTATAGTGGAATATAGTGGATTTACCCATGAATAATGGTGATTTTCTATAGCTACGTTAGTTTACCAGAGGGTATATATATATCCCCTTTATATATCCCCAGTGTATCAACCATAACCAACCGACTGACTGTCATTAGAAATCATCCCATTACCAAGGCTATATCCAATGACCCTCTGGTTATGACTAACAGTTTGCCATGGTAGCCATGGCCCATTTATAGATGGTTTACCTATTAAAAATTGTGATTTTCCATGGCAAAATGTTAAATAACCAGGTTTACATATTAAAAATGGGTGGATCTTTCCATGGCAAACTGTGAATGTCATAACCAGAGGGTAACATGGTTGGTTACATATCCTAATCTTACACCAATTACCAGGGCTAATGTGGGCAAACCAAGGCCATGCCTACCTACCATTTATCGTGATGGTGGTTAAATAGTTGAAATCCCAGCCATTTATCGTGATTCTGGGGATGAATTATTGTCAATGGTTGCTTATACATATATGTATATATATATATATGAACCATAGACAAACAGAAAAAGAGCCACTCGTAAACTAACAGTTTGCTATTGAACATGGCCATTGAGTTCGTTGATTTACCCATTACCAATGGTGATGTTCCATAGCTATAGTTGATTACCCATTGAAAATGGTCATTTTCCATTTACAGTGCTACCCGAAAAGGTAAACTGACTATTAAACAAATGCCATTTAGTTGTGTTACTAAATTAGTTTACTAAGAATTGCCATTTAGTTCTGTTACTAAGTTAGTTTACCCAAAAACTATTGAACATGGCCATAGAAATAGTTGATTACCCATAAAAAAATCTGATGTTCCATAGCTTTTTGTATGTTTTCCATCGAAAAATATCGCCCTTGCGCCATGCGCCTCCGAGATCATGACGTCGTTCAAGAGCAACTGTTGCCGCTCCACATCCTGACGGTAAGAAGGAACGAACAGCGTTAAGGTTGCGTTACCTGACGGCAACCTGTTCATGGTGCTAAACGTAGGGAATGGGATGGAAGGGGATGATTTGTTATATGTTAGTATTTTTTTACATATGTTATTATAATTGTGATATGCTATGATAATTCATATAATTTACTATAGATCATTCCCTATATTCCCTATTTACTAAGCACCAGTAAGGTTTTTCACGTTACGTGGATCTGGAGGTTTCCCAAAATGGGTTTTCCCATGGATTTCATAAGCAACTTTTGGATGATTTGGGAGTATCCCCATTCAAATTTGTGGGAAGTTATTTCCAGCAATGGATGATAATAATTTATAGGAATTTTGGAAAACCTCCATTTATTGCCAGCAATGGATTTATTACCAAAACCAGCAATGTGTTCATTTTTGATGATTTGGATAATAAGCAATTTTGGATAATAAGCATTCTAGAAAACCTCCATTTATTACCAGCAGCAATGGAGCAAAATTACCAAGAACAGGACGCCACTGCAATTACCATCCATTTTTTTGGGGTTTCCAGCAGATTGTCACAGAAACCAATCCAATAATGGAATAGTAAACTACAAATCTTAGAAAAAGGGTAATTTGTTTTTATATCTCTTTAGGGGGTGCTATACACCATGTAGTAACCAGCATGCCGCTGAATAAACGCCTATAATATGGCGTAATTGTGTGAGATATATACATATACATGTACCGATTTACCTTTGTAACTATCAAAATACATGTGAACTTATTGACTGGAACTGCACCTTTCTTTTGCCAAATGTGCCCGACAAGAATCGTCTTCAGTCTGGTTGCATCATCTCCTTTTTTTCTTTTTGAGGGAAAATGAACGATTCAATCTTAGATGGCAAAACAGTAGCCCATCAATCTACCCAATCAGGGTTGACCTTGCGTAGAGATATTTTTTGGGGCCATTAATAGCGGTGGAAGCTAACGACATCCACCAAACAGTCACAACTGGTGGTTTGTTATCGAAAAACGCAGTAGAAATGTAGAAGTGAAGGTTACATAAGGTTACTGTACACCCCGAATCAAAAAATGTCCTGTAGATGTTCTGAGTTCTCGGTCTGGGATCCAGAATTCTCCGACCCGTTTTTGGCTACAAACAGCGATCATACCATCATACATGACACTACTTCGATACTTCGGCTGCCACCCAGAACTGTATCCTCTCAAAGTATTCGTCCAACCCTTACATCTAGCTAACAATCCTTGCCTCAGTGACTCAGCGCCCAGTCTTGCTGGTTCAATCTGAAGTTTTGGATGGTTGGATCCAAGCATGTTTAATCTATAGATGGTTTTTGCCGGGTAAATCCCCCATTTCTTGGGTAAGACACCCCGCACCTCTGAACTCAGGGGAATCCGCTCTTCGCCACGCACCTTCGAAGGAGTTTGCCATGGAGAAGATGGGCTGTCTCAGGTTCCCGAACCAAAGCAGTTCTTACTGTCCAAAGCGCGAATCAACACCATCAGCCTTTGCCATTGGATGATTGCCAAAATTGGATAAACTATAGTTTGGCCAATCCAAGTCCCAATTATCAATTGCTGTTGGTTAACATCAAATCTTCAATCATCATTGAACCTACATCAAATCATCATCAAATCAGCATCTTGAACCATAATAACCCCCCAGTTCTTTTCATGTTTTGTTACCACCTGGGATAATCAGACTGCATCAGACTGCCTGCTTCTCGGAACGAGAGGAGAGGCGTGACCGCAGCGCGCTGGCTGCAGCATGCATGGTGATGCTGGTGATGCTGGTGATGCGGCCAAGAGCTGGTGATTCTATCAATGGATTGGTCCAACTTGGTCCATGTTCAACCCCAAAGCTACCATCTGGTTATTTCTTACATAGCCATGGAAAATCACCAATTTTAATAGGTAGACCATCGAACTAAATGGGCCATTTCCCATGGCTATGTTAAATAACCAGATGGTAAGATGTTAAAGTGCGTATTCATTCGAAGTATTCCTCAAGGATATACGATTTTCCCAAGCATGGGGCGAGTTAAGGGAAAGTCAAATCTCAACAGTGGCCCCCAAAGGATAGATTTCTTTTGGTTTATAAGTAGACTGACTGGGATTTATGGTGGGTTAATATCTATGGTCTATGTATGGTTATAAATTATACACCAACTAATAGCTGGGGGTCCCTTCCTGTTGCCAGGGGGATTTTGCAGAAAAAAATGTGCTTCCCATTTGTGGCAAACATTCACCACGGACCAACCAAACCAAGGTTTACAATTTACTCAGGTACTCCTGATGCAAACCTATGGATTTCCAAATCAAGCGATCATGGATTCTAAATTTGCAAGGGGATCATCTTTTCCGTTCAACATTTTAACGATCGACTGGGCTAGAATTCATGAGTTTGGTACACATGATGTACCCAATCCATCATTTCTGCTGCTGTTGCTTTGCTGAAGCCTAGATTCAGCAGAGCCACATGTGTTCTGGGTCTGCATCTGGCAGCTTGCGCACGCCTTTTATCAACCCAACGGTTTCTACATTGCCCCCTGATATGGTCCAGTTTTGGTTATCAAGTCTTCATTGTCCTCGACATACAATCACCACACCCTGCTAATTGAATTCCAACAAAAATGACCTCAGGTTGTGTTGGGGAAAGTTTTGCAGAGGCAATCAGAATCACCAAATGATGTGTTGTTTTTGGGGTTCGGGGGCGGTACCCCAAATTACCAAACACATTACCCTCCGGTAAACATTCAAAAAACTATTGAAAATTGCCATCTATAGTTGATTTACCCATTGATAGCATGGTGATTTTCCCATCAGTTTTTTGTATCTTTACCAGAGGGTAGCAATTTTTCTATGGCTTCGGGGGCCTCGAATCTGAACCCCCGTGACATGGAGAGTATTCCCACTTCGACGAATGGAGGAGTTCACAAGTAGATTCATGGTATATGAACATGTGTATGTATGTGTATATATATATATATCTCTATTTCTATATCAATATATATATACATAGGTATGGGTTATTCATTCTCTGGAAATTTAGCATAGCTATTGACAATGGCCCATTTATAGTTGACTTACCTATTCAACTGGTGATTTCCCAGTTCGCAAAGTCTCGGTTTACCAGGTAAACCAACTGGTCTATGTGAAATTACCGGAGAATAACCTACATATATATATATATATCACTAACCTGAATTAAGGCCATTAGGGGATGATTTCCCTTATAAACCATGATTCCAGTGAGGTCGCAGTGAGGTCGTTATAATTTACCCAGATATGTATATATATATACACATGTTCATATACCATGAATCTAATTGGAACTCTCTCAATTAGTCTGGGAATATATGGTTTTTGTCTGAAAATGTCGTGTACCCCAATCAACCCAATGGTTTTGCTGATCATGAAATCCCGTTTTTAAATGGCTATTAAACTATGGGAAGATTAACCCAACATGTTCAGACAAAGCCATATTGGTTTTTCTATGGCTTTTCCTTGGGTGTTGCTCACCATCCCATCGACGGCAACGTCTTTTTTTTTGAACCAATGCAGCGCAGCAGGTGAGGCCAACCCACCTGACGCGACGGCGACGGTGAAACCGACGCTGGGCGGAATTTGATGCTTTTTTGTCATGGCCCTAAAATAGGGGAAAATGAGGATTTCACCAAGCAAACATGGTGAATTCATGGTGATTTTTGAGATTTTTGTGGGGATTTATGGGATTTAATGGGATTTAATGGGATTTAATGGGATTTAATGGGATTTAATGGATTTTAATGGATTTTAGTCAACATGGGGAATATGGGAATGGGGATATGAATCATGGATAGTAAAGGTAATCAACCCACGAAGAAGATGGTTGCGGAAAAACCAACGTTGGGCAACGGATAGCTACCTCTTTACTTGCCCAGTGTATCCGCTTGTATCTGGGTTGTGGGAGCGAAAAACATGAGGATATTAACGGGGGTCTAGCATCATTGACAAGTGATGACAAAGCACACTGAAGGCCTTGTTTGATGGATAGCTTTCTTAATTTTTATCCAAATCCCACCTTGTTGGGGTCAAATTTATAGTCGCAGTCATCGTGCTGGAAGAATCCTGAGGCCTTTTGGTGATTGTCTTGGTTTCATCTTTACTCAATCGTGGTGCTAACATCTACACTGCGGCGAACACGAGCACGTCGACTTTCAGCAACACAGGGCACTTTGGTAGCGGTTCACCCCATCGTAAGTGGGTTACCCTACTCATAACCATTCACCCGACTTGACCTGCCTATAACTGGGGTTATAACACACTTACTAGCTGGGATGAAGCAATTTAAGTTCCTAAACGATCAGACGATCAGACTAGCCACAGGAGTCTTGCAAACATTTTCCATAGCAGGAACAAAAAACTCTGTTTCTGATATTTTCCCTGCAACCACCATGGATATCCATGGACGACATGGTCAATCACCATATTTTTCCCCTTCAAGATGCACCTGTGAAAGATGGTCGAACTTCAAAGGAGTTCCCTTTGGCAGGGATACAGAAAGACCTTGGATGGGGAGGCGACTGGTGTGGTTGATGTCACATGAAAAAAGGGGTCAAAATCATTCAAAATCAATGATCTTTCCACATTTGTCTAAGAATAGGGCATCGTTTTTGCTATAAAACTGCGATGAACGATGGGGGCCCATTCCGGGACGAAGCCAGGGGGAGCATCAAAATAAAAAAGATAAACGCATCAGGGAGGACATGCTTTGACAGCGTTCCAAAAGCTTTCAGTGGCATGTTGGGCAAAGCGTGTGGCAACACGGTATGCCCCGTTCGACGCCAATAGTGGCCGTGCCGGACCATAAAACACGGCTGTTGATATCTGCAACAGAAAGAAGTTTGAAATGCCGGTCTACCTTTTTACGTCATCTTACTTCTTATCACCAGCACGGGGTCTGTTACCCTATGCATTCTGATGTCGTCTGTCAAGATTTTGCAACAATATCATGCGCCCATATTTCTGGGCAAATTATAATATTTCACTAACCTGAATTGTTGGGCCATTTGGGGATGATTTCCCGAATATAAACCATGATTTCCAGTGAGGGAGAACAGTGAGGTCGTATTCAACCACGAACTTCTGGGAGCCCCGGCTGTGGTTGGCCAAAGGTGTATCTGTCAACGTGGACCTTGGGGTCTCAACCATCTGATGACTGCTGGATGGCCACTATAAAAACATACTTGGGTATCCAACTCTGCCAGTAAATGCATCATCGACTTTTATCATTTTAGCCAAGTAGATCCTATTTTAGCCACATATATTCCCAATTTGATAGGCAAAAAACGATTAGCCACATATCCGCCGACCCCGGCCGACCGCAAGGGGGAGCGCGTCAGGGAAGAGAGGTTGTGGACAACAAGAAATACAACAACGGGTCGGGGACCAGCAGCAGCAGCAAAAGCCTCTGCAGCAGCAGGAGGAAAAGGTAGCCAAAATTCATAGCAGCAGCAAGAGGAAAAAGCAACCAAAATCATCATTTTCTATGCGTTTTCGTTAGGCATTTATGGGGTGCAATTTTGGGGTTTCTCCGTCCTTCACTGCCATGGTGTTTTCCCATCCAGCAGCAGCCAGCAGCAGGCAGGAGCAGGCAGCAGCAGGCAGCAGCAGGAGCGGCAAAGTTTCAATTTTATAGTAGGGTTTCAGAAGTGACGTTAGGCCCTTTTTTGGGGTTCCATTGCTACGTTTTTGCTCTTTCGGATGTGTTTCGAAAAGGGTGTCTGGCTGTTTGTTTCTTGCTTTGGAGGCTGTTTGATTGCAGCAGCACCACAGCAGCACCACAGCAGCAGCAGGAGCAGCCACCAGTAGCAGCACCAGCAGCAGGCAGCAACAGGCAGCAAGCAGCTTCTGCCAGCAGCATGCAGCAGCAGGCAGCAGCAGGCAGCAGCAGGCAGCAGCAGGCAGCAGCAGGCAGCAGCCAGCAGCAGCCAGCAGCAGGCAGGAGCAGGCAGGAGCAGGCAGCAGCAGGCAGCAGCAGGCAGCAGGCAGCAGCAGGCAGCGGCAGGCAGCGGCAAAGTTTCAATTTTATAGTAGGGTTTCAGAAGTGACGTTAGGCCCTTTTTGGGGTTCTGCATTCAACGCTGCGGCACGCTTGCGGATGGCAGCTTGGACTGTGGCCACATGACATGCGTTGCAGACCCGTGTGCCATGTTGACCCCGGCCGACGCAAGGGGGAGCGCGCCAGGGAATAAGACATTTTCCGCCGACCATTTGGAAGCTTGCAACAGCAGCAGCAACAGCAGCAGCAGCAGCAGCAGCAGCAGGCAGCAGCAGGCAGCAGTAGGCAGCAGCTTGGAGCTACCAAACAAGAGCTGCAGGAGACAAATAAAGAGATATTTTTTCTAGGCATTCAGAAGGGACGTTAGGCAGTTTTTGTGGGTAAGTTTGAGCACGGTTTCAGCACACAATTAGGTGCTGTTTTGCTGTGGCAAAGGGTTCGTTCTGGAGGGCTGATGCTTGCAGTTTGGAGCCACCAGACAACAGCTGCAGGAGACAAAAAAAGAGAAAAACATTTTTCTAGGAATTCAGAAGGGGCGTTAGGCAGTTTTTGTGGGTAAGTTTGAGCACGGTTTCGGCACGCAATTAGGTGCTGTTTTGCTGTGGCGAAGGGTTCCTTCTGGAAGCCTGATGCTTGCAGCTTGGAGCCACCAAACAACAGCTGCAGGAGACAGAAAAAGAAATTTTTTCTAGGAATTCAGAAGGGGCGTTAGGCAGTTTTTGTGGGTAAGTTTGAGCACGGTTTCGGCACGCAATTA